AGGACCCCAAAAATGGGGAGAGGAGACCAAAAATGGGGAAAGGGACCCCGAAAATGGGGAGAAGACACCAAAAATGGGGAAAGGGACCCCGAAAATGGGGAGAGGGACCCCGAAAACAGGGAGGGGACCCTGAAAATGGGGAGAGTGACCCAAAAAAATGGGGAAAAGACACCAAAAATGGGGAAAGAAGACCAAATATGGGGGGAGGGACCCCGAAAATGGGGAGAGGGACCCCGAAAATCGGGGAGGGACCCCAAAAATGGGGAGAGGGACCCTGAAAATGGGAAAGGGACCCCGAAAATGGGGAGAGGGACCCCGAAAACGGGGAGAGAGACCCTGAAAATGGGGAGGGGACCCCGAAAATGGGGAAAAGACATCAAAAATGGGGAGAGGGACCCCGAAAATGGGGAGGGGACCCCGAAAAATGGGGAAAAGACACCAAAAATGGGGAAAAGACACCAAAAATGGGGAAAAGACATCAAAAATGGGGGGAGGACCCCAAAAATGGGGAGAGGAGACCAAAAATGGGGAAAGGGACCCCGAAAATGGGGAGAAGACACCAAAAATGGGGAAAGGGACCCCGAAAATGGGGAGAGGGACCCCGAAAACAGGGAGGGGACCCTGAAAATGGGGAGAGTGACCCAAAAAAATGGGGAAAAGACACCAAAAATGGGGAAAGAAGACCAAATATGGGGGGAGGGACCCCGAAAATGGGGAGAGGGACCCCGAAAATCGGGGAGGGACCCCAAAAATGGGGAGAGGGACCCTGAAAATGGGAAAGAGACCCTGAAAATGGGGGGAGGAGCCCAAAAATGGGGAGAGGGACCCCAAAAATGGGAAAAAATCTGGAATATTGGGAGAGAAAAATCCCCCCAAAAATTCGGGGAGGGGAAATCCCCAAAAACGGATCCGAAACGGCCCCAAAATCCTCCAAAATGAGGGGGAGGGACCCCAAAAAAAGAGAGAAAATTTTGGATCGTTGGGGGAGGGGAAAATCCCCCCAAAAACTGGGGAAGAAATTCCCGAAAATCGGGAGGGAGGAGCCTCAGATTTTGGGGTGGAAAAGCCCAAAAAAGGTGAAAAATTCCCGAAAAACGGGAGGGGAAAAAATTCCCAAAAAACCCCAAAACCCCAAAATTGGGGATTTTTAACCCTTTGCCCCCCGGTTTCTCCGCAGCTCCGGGGGCAGATGAGGCGGAACCATCGCCTGGTAAAGGG